AGTATGTCTGGCCCACTCCCTGGTCATGACATTAGCGTGTTTCCCCCGGATTATTTCTATCATCCTGCGTGTTCTTGGGCTGAGCGAGCACATGCACGAGTGTGCAGCTATAACCCTGTGTATCTTTGGTTACACTTTGTTCTGCAATGCATGTACCTTGTAACAGTCTGTGCTTGCACTGCTTTGTGTGGCCTGCGTATTTCAAGACTATTCAGTGCATCAGACCCAGGTTGGTTTGGTTGCCGGATGATCTCTTGTTGCGTCGCTCTGTGTTTTGTATTAATCAATTTTTGGGCTTGAGAATTGAGCTGGTGTGTGGTTCCCAATATGAAAACATCATGCTGGTGCTCTGTGTTTCGATTATCGACTGTCCGAGCAGTCACGATTCATTACCAGAACGGTCAATACTGTAGTCTCTTCACGTGTTTGTGTTTTCGCCGGGGGAATTAGCGGTGACATTGCACATAGAACGGCAGTGTTGCATCACTGGACGACCCTGCCTTTGCATCTGACTTCATTTCCCCAGGATCTGGTGCAGATACATCAGACAGTCACTTCCTGTAAACACGCAAACAGCAAAAGAAGAGATCCCGCAAATCAGGAAAAACCATTGCGGAAAATATCGAGTAGATCATACACCATTCAATAATCTGGAGTAATTACAGTGAGACAAACACTTCAAACAGTGCTCTCTCTCTCTCTCTCTCCATCCTTCCAAAATACCCTGTAACAATTCCCTGGAATTATTTTATTTTATATTCTCAGGACATCATTCTGAACAACTTCTTCCATGGGTCTTCAATCACCACGGAGGGCGAGAATACAGCTAAGTCATGCAGTCTACGGGAGGTGCGGGCTGTCATGGATATAGAGGCTGATATTGTGCCAGCGTGAGGGCAGAGACAGAAAGAAGACACTGATTTCTTGAACAACTCACCTACATATAATCGAATCCACAGGAAGCGCTCGTACTTTGATCCATCAGGAGGCGAAGAATCTTCAAAGCACTCTCAAACACGGAGTTTTACAGTGGGCAGCCAATTTCACAGCCATTATGAAGGCCCTCGACGACTACAGGAGATTTGTAGAGGAAAGAACAAGGAGTAAAGAGCGACAACAATCGCTTGACGAAAAAGCAAAGAAAAACTGTTCTCTCTCCAGTCATTTAGATGCTGTTGCCCTTCACAACTGGTTCCATCCAGAGGACGCGACTTTTGTTTGTCCCCAGTGGCAGTGCTCTCCGTTGCTATGCGTATCGAAGGGGCCGTGACGTCACACTTAACAGCCCCATTGTACCGAAAATGCTCAAAAAAAATGCCGGCATATTGCACGGGGGCCTAGCCGGCCTAGCCGAGTTTCTGTCGCTTTTGTACGGTTGCGCTAGATTTGCATGCAACAGATGGGGTCCGCGAGTTGTAAAATACCGGTATTTTAGGAATCCTTTGTGAGTAAGTAAGTAATAGTTTGAGACATTTTTCAGCCGGGTCAGACTGGACCCGGTGTTATCTGTTCAGCCAGGTCGTGCAGTTCCCCAGCCGGGCGCGTGACCCGGCTGACCCGGCTCTCCAGCAGGCCCTGTGCAGCCCACCACCTCCAAAAGAGAGATCCCACGCCAATTGTCACAGAGCGATAGATCTCCACGCTTTGGGATTGGCACCAGCTGGGCATTCCGCCACTCCTGAGGAACACCACCTGTGGACCAGACAGTCAAAAGCAAGGCCAGCAAACATTCATGCAGCTCACTGGAGCCATACTTCACAAGTTCGGGCAGGATCCCCGATGCGCCAGCTGCCTTGCCATTAGCCATTGCACGTATAGCTCGACCAACTTCCTCAGGAGATGGAGGGATGGCGAGCTCCTCGTCGATGGGCCTGACCTCCAGCGTACCGAAAACGTCCAAGTCATAGAGGCTCCTGATATTAAGGACGTTTGAAAAGTGTTCATACCACCTGGACGAGATGGCCTCCAACGACGCGCACACAATGCCATCGGTGTCCCGGATGGATTGCACCTTCATGGGTGTGATGCCCCCAAAGCATCGCTGAATCGCCTGAATGGCAGCCCAGGCACTCTTGGTATTAAACCGCTCAGCCTCCACGATGTCAGCTTGTTTACTGAGCCAGCTCTCCTTTGCGGAACGAACAGCCGCACGGGCCTCACCACGGGCCTCCCTGTAGGCAACCAAATCCGCCCGGGAACCAGAGTGACATTTCCGATACAAATCATTCCGGGCCTTCAGAATGGGCTCCAATGTGGCCGCACTCTGGACAAACCAGTCAGGACTGCTACGCCTCTCATGCCCGATTGCAGCCTTAGCTGATGACGTTATAGCCTTCTTAATACAGGACCACTGCTCCTCGATGAGTCCGCCAGCATCAAAGTTCTCCAAGCCACCAGACAGACAGTGGCCATACTCCGCTCGGGTGCACTCGACTAACTCCCGCCTCTCGTCAGTCATACCTGGCACAGTCAGCAGCTCCTGAACCGCAAACCGCCGGTT